CTTCCTTTTTGGCTAGATATCATCACCTTGTTCAAAAACAAAAGACTGCCTTAAAAAAACAAAAGATGAAATTGGGAGCTAAAGAGATGGCTCAGTGGTGAAGAGCACTTATTGCTTTTTTACAGAGGAACCAGGTTAAATTCCCAGCACCCACAGGGTGGTTTACAGCCATCCACAACTCCATTTCCAGGGAATTCAAAGCCCTCTTCTAACTTATGAGGGCACCAGGCATGCACATGCTTTATATACTTGCATGAAGGGAAAACACATTAAAAACTAATAATTTTTTTAAAGTGAAATTCCATTTGGTAGCTTCCAAATTTCGTAGGTGGCAGACTTCTTAATAAAACAAAGTTGCAAACAAGACATCAAAGTTTCAGGACTCAAATTTCTATGTTCAGTGAACGTTATGTAATAATTTTAGATCATATTCATGTTTATCAATGACTACTAGACGCACGGCTTTATGTAAATAGTAGGCTTCAAAAATATGGCTACAGTTACTGTTACTTTTTCCACCCGGTTAAAACTACAACATTTGCAAATATGTGTAAAATATAGGCTTAATTCTCTGCAAAAAAGCAGGAGAAAGCTTATGACTTAAAAGTATACTCCTACAGAAATCACAAAACAATGAGAGATGACTAAGAAGCACAAAAAATTAGTCTTTCAATCTTAACTCTAATTAAAGTGAACTGTATAGATGCTTCTGAAAGATCTGTTATTTTAAGGATGTATATGTGAGCCCATCTATGTGCGCCTATGTACAGATGCCTGCAGAAACCAGGAGCGGGTGTCAGGTCTCCTGGAGCTGGAGTTACAGGTGCTGGACCTGATGCTGGGATCTGCGCTACGATCCTCTGGAACAGCAGTACCACTGGTCATCTTTCCAGCCCTGAATTATAAATATTAACCTTTAGAAGGTAAGCAGATGCAATTCAGAAGGATCATAAAAGTATCTGCCACCTATTTCAAAACTTTTTATTATCCAATACCAAAATACATATCTACATTTGACAAATACTGTCTCAATTTCATTTTCAGTACTGTTTGAAGCACGTATTATTAAATCTTACTTTAAAAATTTAATTCTCACAAAGGACAATGCAATAATTTTTGTGCCACTCACATTCCATTTATAAAAAGTAGGAACTATGGAAATATGCTATACCATTTGAAGCTAGGCGAAATGACTTTTGTATGCACTTTATTTTTAAATTAAACACTCTTGTGTAATTAAAAGCACATTTCTTAAATGCCAGATAGAGTGAAGACATGCAAACATAACTACTGCATAAGGGACATGGAGTTTTTTAGCAAGCACCAAACTGTTCTCCAAAATAGTGAACAAATGTATACTTTTATGTCAGCCATGCAAAGTGTCCTATTTTGTACCACTTTGGGATCATTTACTCAACACCTGTCAAACTGACAGGGGAAAATGGTCTCACGGCTATTTTAATGAAATATTTTCACTACTGCACCCTATAAAAAGTATGTTTTGTAAAAAAAGTAAATACATACTAGTATTTTAACCTAATTCTTTTTCCTAATAAATAAAATGTCCAAACCAAAGGTAATTTAATGTATACCCACACCAACCTTTCATAAGAATCATTTACTAAAAGATGTATCTGGGTTTTGCTGAAATTAAGAATGTCATACTTAACAGAGAAGATATAAATCTGACTTCTTTTAAAATATTCGTTAAGAAAGCATGCAAATTAATCAAAGCTCCTACTGCCACAACTTATTTCTAACTGATAATGTTCATTCTAGTCCATGTCGGTTTTCTGAAAGGAAATCTAAATTCAATTTCATAAACTATGCAAAACAGGGAAAAAATGACTGATCTCACAATACATTTCAAGTCATATAATAAATACAAATATAAAGACAGAGCTTATTTTAAGAACTACAGTATCATCTATACAGAGATGAGAATCAAAGCTGAAGGAATGGAAGTCCTGTAGAGAACGCGAAGTGGGGAAAGGAATAAAGCTCCAACGAGGAAAAAAACCCCAAAGTGGCCAGGAAAGCAGACAGAACTGTCTTAAATGGGGGAAAAAAAAAAAAAAAGGAATGAATGTGATAATAAAAGTAAGACCACTACATAGAAAGCCTGAGCAAAGATCATTATGCTTACCTATAAGGTATTAAAACATTACTCATGTAACAATTTTATCAGACAGGTCTGTGGACAATACAGCATATGTTGTACTGGTTCGAAGAATTTTGCGGGTTTTTGAAAAAGTATATAACTTGATTGTATTTCAACGTCTACAATTTAAGATAAGGTTAATAAAAAAAATAAGGTCTGAACTAAGGAAAGAAAAGCAACATGAGCTAATAAAAGTGCTATGGTTAAGCATTAAATTTGCTCTGACCTTATTTCCCAGCAAAGTTTAAAAATGTAGACTGCACAAATAACATAGTTTCATATAAGATGTTTCTTTCAAGACAAACTTTCTCTGGGAATTAAAAAGTCACATGAGTCTGAAATTTAAAGATCAACACCCTGGACAGGTTTTTTTTTTTTTTTTTTTTAGAGTAAAAGAAGAAATTCTTAGTGAATACAGCTATGTAGTTTTTAACACATGTCCAACTTTGTTCTAAGCCTTGTATAAAATAGCAGCTTTTAATTTTCACACAGCTAATTCTTAATAACACCGTAAAATCTGGCAGTCCTGAGAGTGCTAGCAGAATAGATGGACTGCTGACTGAGGAAGGCCTATGTTTCGAAGGCTGAATATTTAGAAAGGATAACTGGATCAACAGGAGATGACCTCCTAGGGTGAGAAAAATGCTTCTTACATGGAAAATCAAAGTGTTTAAAAGAAGAAAACTTCACTTTTGGAAAACAGATCAAATAGAAACTTCGAAGAAATCATGATACTTTCTTCCCTATCTTCACTTTATATAAATTCATGACAGTTGTGGCTTGATTGGAATACTTGATTGGAAGCTCTCAAGACTATCATCCTTTCTGAATTTGTTCTGAACCTGTTTAGTTTTTAGCAAAAATTTGGTGCACGCACACATACACAGCCACTAGGCTAGTTCCTTAAGTAAGGTAAACAGGGTTATTTTAGTGGCACTTGACACCCTTTAGGAATCTGAGCAAATCTTGGGAAATTCCTTCTCTAAACTGGCATCTTTTGCTGTACAAGATGAGGGGAAATGGCATGGGGCAGCAGCCACAATATCCCTCTTAAGTTATTGGTCCGAGATGACTTATTAATATTATTAACAGGGCAATGGAACCAGAAACTTCTGGGTGAAACAAAACATAAAATTTCATTTTCCTACCTGACTTTTAGAAAAGGCACTAGAGCCATGGGGGTAGGGGAATCACAAGCATAGAACCAGAACTAGAAGGCATTCTGACCGTGCAACCTGTGACTACTAACTAGTTAATGGTAGTAAATACACTTTGCAACTGTGTGAAGTATAAACGTGTTTATGTCACAAGCCTAGTAAACCAGATGATGGTAAGGTGAGCCCTGTATATGACTAAATATACACAATACATTTTCTACTTCCTAAAACGTTTTGAGGTGTAAATTTAACCAAAGTTTAAAAAAAACAAAGCTGGGTGATGGTGACACAACCCTTTATTAACTCCAACAGGAGGCAGAGGCAGGCAAATCTCTGACTTTGAGGGCAGCCTGGTCTACAGAATGAGTTCCGGGACAGCCAAGACTATACAGAGAAACCCTCATTTGAACCCCCACAAAAGAAAACACACAAAGGGATTTGAGTCATCTAATCCAACACATTCAATAATGTGCCCATGACCATGATCATCAAGCTAGTTTGTGGTACAAAGCCATTATCACACAATACCACAAATTTGTCCATCACTGTTCTTTTATTAAGTGGGCTTTTGTTGTTGTTTTGTTCTTTTAAAGAGCATTTTCACTCTGGAAAATAACCAGGAATGTTTTGGAAGGTCCCAACATTAATTACAGGAAACATTAGCAGGCCTGAGATTGAGGTTATAAAATTCACACTTTCAGTTTGACTGAGCTACTGTGCAGAGCTGGAAAGAGAAGTAAAATGGAAAACAGGACACCAAGTCAGTATGAAGTCAGAAAAATAAGATACAGGGAAAGCCTAAAAGTCAGTTTTTACCTAGTTGGGAAAAGTAAAACTATTTATGTTACACGGAAGCATTCAGAAAAGCGTCGTATTTAAGAAAACATTTTATTTTCAGCCAAATTCCCAGGCTAGATACACAATGAGTAAACATCCTATCACTATTAATTCCCCAAAACTACTTAAGTTTTTTTTTTCATGTTTCACGTCACACTTCATTTTTGCTTTTTCCATTTTTAAAAAATCTGTTTTTTTTTAAAACTCAGACGAGCCATCGCTGGTCCCTGTAGGAACAGGTGGTCCATGCTGCGTTCCTCATCCTCTAGGCCACATGTCCCTATTCCGCCTAATCTCATTTCTGAAGCATTATTTCCGGTGGCCCAGATGGCTCTACGAACGCCAAAACGATCCACCTCACAAGGATTAAGACTCCTCTGCCACATCTGGCATCCAGTGGGATGGCGGCAGAGGCTTAGGGAGGGCAGGCCGGGGAATTACGGCCTGGAAAGAGGGGAGTCGGGAAGGTGGAGGCTCGGCTCCACGCCCGACTCCTCAATGTCACCGGGGAGAGATGGATGTTCACGCAGCATCACCCTCGCCGAGCCGGGAGGCGAGCCAGGGTGGCTGCGGCGGGCCGGGGCGCCGAGCACGCTCCTCCGGGCGGGCAAGCCCCTCCGGGCGCCCCCCACCCCGCCCCCCGCCGGCCGACCCGGGGCGCCCCGCGCGGGCTGCGGAGGGGAAGTGGGAGCAGGCGGAGGGCGCGGGCGGGGCCTGATCACATGGCGCAGCCGTCGCAGGCCGCCTGGCATCGCTTTCTTTTCTCTCCCGCGAGCCGCCCCGCCGCGCCGCCCCGCCGCCGCCCCGGGCGGACCCCTCCCCTCCGCCTCGCCCACGCCACTCACTTGTCGCCCGCGGCCACCATCTCCTTGCCCTCGCTGTTGCCGAACGCGTCCGTCTCCCCAGGGCCGTCCTTGGGGCCCGGGGCCGGCGGGGCTGCGGGCGGCGACGCCCCGGGCTGCTGCGGAGACGGCGCGCCGCCCTTGCCCAGCTCCTGCAGGATCTCCGAGGGCGAGCTGGAGAGGCCGCCCGCGCCGGGGCCCTTGGCGCGGCCGCCCCCGCT